TTGTTTTGCGTGAGAAAATTCACCAGCTAGCCAGGTACAGCACTACCTTTAAGTAAGTGAGCTTTCATGTTCCATTAAGGTAGCGTTTGCAAAAAGACCCCGTTTCCTAAGGGGCGGTTTGCAAAGTCTTCAAGCCTGGTAGGACATGGATTTACCCCCCCTGCCGCCCCAGCCCCCAAACCACGTCTCATGAGACGCACAGCCATAAGTCTGCCCCCCCCCCCCGGGGAAATGCACCCCTCCACAGGGCAGAAAAAAGAAGGGAGACACAAAACACATAGCTTCACAAATCGGGGGGAAATCCTCGCCATCCAGGATTAGCACCCCCCCTGGGACACGCGGGCACATAAAACACACACTGAGAAGGAACTTGCCGGATTCTGTGGCAGAGCGAAGGTGGCACGTGCGAAACACTGACCCAACCAGCGTCCAGACACATTGGACACCCCCCTCCCAAACAGAATCATTAAAAACAGAAAAGAAAAATGTGAGCTGGCCTCAGCTTCTCTGAAACATCTCCTTAGAGTTAATCCCTCACACTTTCTTTCATAACCAATTTGCACATCGTTCGACACCGATGAGAAGCTCCAAAGTTAAACACCAGTCTACCCCTCCCGCCACCTTACGCATCAGCTGAGCAAAATGGTTTCTTTTTTTTTTTTTTTTTTTTTACTGAACGACACGACCTCTTGGTTTTGTATCATCCACCGTCACGGCGCAAAGAACTCAAGACGCCCTTGACTTTTCCGCCACAGAACCAAGCATAAAAGCTCTGTGGAGGGCCTCCAGGTCTGCAGATCCGGCTCCGCGATGCGGGATGAAACCCCGCGTGTCCCTGGGACTTCCGGACCGCCATCGATCGTCCAATCTGATGCGCCTCACTGAGATCATGTCTGTTGTGCAAACACCGGAAAATGGCCACAAAAAAGAACAAACCACTAAAACGTGTACTTCCTTTTCTCTGAGGCGCTACAGGAAGATCAGAGCAGGGAGACCATCCACTGACCGACGTCTCAAATGTCACGGGTTCGGAAATAATGACAATGACCTTAATCCTGGGCAGTTCAAATCAGGCCTCCCGTCCGGTTACGTCTCCATGATCAAATGGATATATAAAAATGTCATAATGAACGCAGACACCGCGGGTGACCTCGCGTCTGTGCATCGTCTGGGCTGCCAGCTCTGGATCCTCAAAGAACGCAAAACAAAAGCTGAGAGTAAACATCTCTGCGTGGACCCGGAGTAACAATACCGCGCTGCGTGGACCCGGAGTAACAATACCGCGCTGTGGGGCCGGTGGCGCAGCCGTCGAACGCTCTGCCGGGGGGGTTGGAGGGGGTCTTCCAGCCTTAACACCCCCACCAGACATCATTGATCCTCCCACCCGCAAAACACCCCTCCGTGTTTTCCTAAGACAGCCAGTGATCCCCGTTTGCCACAGCTGGGCTGATGCGTTTGTTCTTTATAACAATTTTTCCAAAAAAAAAAAAAAAAAAAAACCTCGAATAAAGTAGGAATCTGTGTTTTTTTCCGGCAGTATCTCACGCCTAGTGACGGTCGATCCGGGACACCATGGCAACAACTGAGCATTTGTTCCACTGGAATGTAGGGAATGCCGGAGGGGGGGAGGGAAGGGAGGAGAGGAGGCTGCCGGCTGGGTCTCCTTTCTCACCCCCACCAAAATAATTAGCTACTCTGCCAATAGCCCAGGGTCAATGTTGTTACAGTAGTTAAAACAGCCCATATGTAACGCCAGGAACGGCAGTGGGTCAACAGCGAGACCGAAATCTCGGTTTGTAAAGCAATATATACGCCCTTTAAGTTACACACACGTCAAATGAACCTTAAAACTCCCACAGATTAAAAGAGCGGTTCCCAAATTTCCTGACAAATACGCCAAACCACTCACTTTCACCTCCTGCAGTTAAGGCTTTGAAAAGCAGGTAAGTTAGTCCTGAAGAAATACAAGCCAGTCTGACTAGAAAAGATTCTTTGAGAGACATCTCAGGATCTTACACTCGTTTTTTCTTCTCAGTTTTGTTTTACTTTATTTGGAGTTCATGGTTTAACTGGGAGGGTGGTTCAAGGCAGGGCTGCTAACTGTGCTTGGTGGGGGGGTTCCGATAGGGAGGGGCAGCTTTCAGGCGGCCTGGGCGGCCCCCGTCTGTCACCAGCGAGGCACAGCACACGGTCCTCCCCCCCCCCCCCCCCATGACGTCGCAGCCCAGATAGAGAGGAGGCCCTACGGCGCTCACTCTCTCGCATGCCTACGGCGCTCACTCTCTCGCATGCCT